GCCCACCAGCAGGTGTCAGTGGTCTGTATTCATTCATTCTGAAAAGGAAAACTCAAACTAGGACTGTAGATTTATAAACCATAAACAAACAGCGGCATTCTTACTATTTTGAATATGAATCATGTTGATCACTTTCTTCATTCCAGATGGCCATGTCATTATTAGTTGTCAACCTATACATTACTGCGGGAAGTAGGGGTGCTGAGGGTGCTGCAGCACCCCCTGGCGTGTAGCTCAAGAAAAAATGGGGGGGTTGTTAAGACTGCACCAGACAGCCAGCTCTTTAACCTCCTGTCTGTAAGCAGACTCGTCTCCATCCTTGATGAGGCCGATGACTGTAGTGTCGTCTGCGAACTTCAGGAGCTTGACAGAGGGGTCTTTAGAGGTGCAGTCATTCGTGTAGAGAGAGAAGAGCAGTGGGCGCAGTCCGAAAGCCGCGCGCGCGGAGCTTTACCAGGGCGCCGGCGTGTTTCCCTCTTCTGCTTCTGCATGCGCGTTTGAACAACACCGCTGTACCTCCGACTAGAATGTCCAACAAAACGTCCGAATAATCAAAAACCGGAAAAATGTTGTCCGGGATGTGCTGCTTAATGTTAAGGAGTTTGTCTCTGGTAAAACTTATAGAAGAAGAATGACAAAACACAGAACAAACAAACAAAAACAATAGAAGAATTGCAGAGCTCAGCGTCCTTGCTGCCATTTGCGGCGCCATGCTGATGTGATGCATTTCATATTTGTATATTAAAATATATATATATTTTAAAACACCGAGCTCACAACATTATTTATGCTGTTATAATTTTGCATGCAGTGTAAATGCATTCGTGCTATATTTCAGCTACATTGAACCGTTTGCGTAAAAGCATCTGAATGCCGCTTTAGTCACTTTTGTTTTTTCTGCAGTGGAAAGATTGGTTTTGTTGATACTGAATTCTAGGGGTGTAATGGTTCACAAAATTCATGGTTTAGTTCGATACGACACAGTGGTGTCACAGTTCGGTACGTTTTTCAATACGGGGGGGGGGATCATCATCTTTCGACGCACCCCAGCACAGGGAGGTTATCGCGGGGCAGACAGCACGTTGCCTGTTACGTCATTTGGGCTGCCTTGTTGAGCGCAGTAGCACTGAGAACATTATATTTCACACACTTAAAGCTCTTTTAGTTTCCATATGTAATAGGGTGTATGTCGAACATCACCTAACCAAACCCGGAAAACAGGTCTCATTGCTTCCGCTTGTCGGAGAACGTGTTAACAGCCGTATTAAATAATAGCGATATCTATGGACTTTTAAGATAATCACTTAAACTAGCTAGCTGTTTTTATTGTTGACGTTTTATTCCATTTTTATATCTAAATGTGAAAAGAATAAAAATAAAAAAAACTTTTAGATATCAGTCCGCATATGTGATGGACATTGGTTATGATCATCATTTGCATCTACTTTGAAGGCATCTTGAGTAAAACTGCTTCATATTTAACTAAGCATTTGCAAAACGCTTGAACCGGAAGCGACAAGACCCGGTTAACAGAATACGGAAGTCTGTTGCGCATAACCCCTATAGGATTAGTCCAAGGAATCGTTCGGTTTGTAATGGTACCGAACCGAAAGCCTCATACCGAACGGTTCAATATGAATATGTGTATCGTTACACTCCTACTGATTTCATATGATTGTAACAGTCCTATATTATCTTATTATATTAAGTATCTTATTATATTATATTAACTCAGATGGAGTTTTGGTTCCTTGCCGCTGTCGCCTCTGGCTTGCTTAGTTGGGGACACTTCATTTCCAGCGATATCGTTGACATGATTGCAAAGATACTATTTAAACTGAGCTGGATGTTGACATCACTGAATTCAATGATGAACTGTCTTTAACTGAAAAATGAGTGTTTACGATTGTCATTTTGCATTATTGACACACTATTTTCCTAATTAATGCTGTTCAGTTGCTTTGACACAATCTGTATTGTTAAAAGCGCTATATAAATAAAGGTGACTTGACTTGACTTATTATATTAAGTGAAATTATTAATAAAATGTTAGAATTTTATATGAAAGATGATGCATGCATTTAATACTTTTAGGGAAAAATGCCCTTTAAATAGGTCAAAAATGACCTGGAAATCAATTTAAATAAATTTTTGCATGCAGTATTAAGTCATATAAAACATTATTTCCCAACAACAAAATTGTGGCCAGTGAAAATTCTGAGTTGCTAGTCACTTTGGAAAACCACTAGCCACAGTGGCCAGTGAGCAAAAAAGTAAATGTCAAGCCCTGTATGTGTATACCATAATAGAATATCTATATTTTACAGATTTGATCAAGTTTTTATTTTCATTTTCATTCAATTTTTAATTATATTAATTTAGTCAATATTATGTCAAATAAATATAGAAATTAATTTCAGCAATAGTTATGCCTGTTTGCTTTACTATGTTTAAACTGTTGTGATATCAGCCACCCTGCTCTATAGGATATCAGCAGCGACCATTAAAAAAATTGTTATGAAAATATCTGTGTATTGGAATGTTCAGGCAAGATGAAGATGTAAAATTCAAAGAGCATTTGGTGTGTGCCCTCTTGACTTTATCGTTTTCACTTGCTTTTATCATTTTTATTTTTTCTTCTCCTGCACTGGTTCTCCAAGCTGAACACCCAATCAGAGTGATCTCTCTCAGCAACTGCACAAAGTTGATCCAACATGCTCAACCAGCCAAAAAGCCACCAACGGTGTGGAACACACTGCAAAAACTCAGCTGATAGATGCTCAATGATAGAAGATTAGTCGCCTTACTTTGGCCGACCATTGGCTTGGTGTGTCGTGGTCTTAAAATTGGCAAAAAGGAAAATAAAGAATATCAATTTGTCAAGAACAAAATCATATTAAAGCATGTGGTGCTCATATGGACATTGCAAGTTTTAGTCTGACTGCATCACATTCCGATTCTGTTCTTTCCACTTGTCCTTATAATTTCCTGTCCTCTTTCTTGCCTATACTATCACTAAAAATAGCATCAAGAAAAAAAAGAGGAATAGTAATGTGTTACAATTCATATTAAAGCATGTGGTGCTCATATGGACACTGCAGATTTGAGTCTGACAGTTCCATCAGAATCTATTCTCTTTCTTCAACTTCTCATTTCCTGTCCGCTCTCTTCTATCACTAAAAGTGTAGGGGGAAAAAAAACAATGTGTCATATAATTCATATTAAGACCCACTCTAATATCCCAATGATGCTTGCCAAACAAATAGAGCAAAGAGATACAGATTTAAAGTACATGCACTTTCACTGCTGCCAGCAGAAATGCCTCACACCTGTCTTGGTGAGCTGTATTAATGGGTGCTGAAGTAGTTTGTGCGTAAACTGTTCATTTGCCTCAGATACACAGAATGGGTGGGAGTACATCTGAACCATTGAGCTGTCATTGCGATGGAAATCACATCCATCTACTGTCTCCGTTGTGCTATTCATCGTCCCCTCAGCGACAGATTTACAAACCGATCCTGGTGTAAGCCTGACATGACCATCAATTAGCATGTGCATTCATAATACGAGACCTGGCACTCAGGTATGGCTTTCTTTCTCCTGACACTTCAAAAGTTAACTTTACTCCAGACAACATGAAACTGCCTTTGACAACACATGTAAGAGGACATGGCACATTTATAAGTGAAACAGACTATTCAGCAGAAAATGTAGAACAATACTGGATTTGATTGGATCCTGAAAAGTGGGTGAAATATAGGCTGTGATATTATTGGTTGATATTTCTTTTTTGCCTTTAGGATGAACTGTAGAGTTATTACACTTTGATGAAAGTTTATATAAACATCCATTTTTCTACAAAATAACAACATGTATTGACGATTGATGCATGTAATTCTATGGACATTTATTTAAGAAATCAGGGGCCATTTTGATTTAATCTCCACGCATGATATAAAGTATCTGATTTTAAAATCAATTTGACAATGGAAACTGGTCCAATACAGAAAAATCTTGAAGTAGCATTATGGCAGACTAAGCAATATTTTAAGTTAATAATGTGTATGTCACTGTATATCAAAATAACTGCTGTCTGCAGTTGTTTAAGCACAATAAAGATGGCTTTCTGAAAAGATGGAAGCAGAACAATGCTTGCAATGTTTGAATCTGTGTCTGATAGATCTTTTCTATCTGATCTTTCTACACATGTCATCAATCATTAAAAAGGTCAACAAAATATGGCACTTTTTATGGGAAAGGATACACACACAGACATAAACAGTGGCTGAATGAGCAATCAACTCTTAGGTTTAGTTAGAGATGACTGCACTCAAGCCTCCGTACGTGCACACACACATAAAACACACATCATCCATCAAGCACATGTGCTCACCTCATCACTTCATCTCTGCCAAAACCCCAGAACTGAAAGGTACGACCTCTCTTTCTATTGGCATAATTACAATTCACCACATTTAAACAGAACGCTGATCAGGGAGCATCTTTCATCATCGATTTCATTCATCAAGATGGAACATACAAGTCACTGATTTTCAGGATATTTTAGCATCGTTCAGCTAATAAATGACAATGAAATCAAAGATGTGTTCCTTAGACACCCAACCTGCGGTAATGGGACGTTTTGTGTTATTGTGTTTATACTGAGCTAAATTATATTTTCTAACCCCTCTGACCCTCACACAAACCTTTCTGCATTTAAAATTTTCATTAAGTCATAATTAAGTATGCTTATCAAGCCCTTTTCCTCACAAGTCCCCATAGTGTATCTAATTTTAGGTTTTAAGATCATTATGAGGACATTTGGTCCTTTCGATGCAGCCAAATCCTGACCCACACACTCACTTGCATTTATATTCATGCACACGCTCATTTAAGCAGACATTCAAAAACTAGGTGAGCTACATCTGTTTCATCCCATACCTTATGCTGTGCAGTGCTATTCACGTATCTTCTAACGCTCTCCCTCACTCAAGTCTTACCGAAGTCTTTATGCGAGGACATCCAGCCAATGATTTTGATAGAGACGATAGCAAGTAGTCCTGATCCCACAAAGGAGCCGATTCCAGAGAAGAAGAAGAACAGGCCCATTATAGCGCTCTGCATGGAGCGTGGGGCTGCAGAGTAGGCGAACTCCAGACCTACAAACACAAGATGATGCAGAAATCAATGATGAAAGTCAGAAGTTTGCTTCAAAAGCATGATCAGAACCTCAAAAGCATCCAAGGGACTCTATGCTTCACATTTACAACAAAAATAGAGTCTTGTGGAAAAGACCATGGTTAAAAAAATGACATGAGCAGATTAATTTGTAACAGGGTGTTTGCATAACCTTTCTATACAGTTGTATCAACCAGCAAGCAAACAGCTCAGACTTTTGTGAATAAAACGTAATCTATAATGAGCATCTTTTGCATAGAAAGTAGTGTTTTGCGAAAAAAGTCGATGACTTAAATAAACATGATGCCGTGCTAAAAGTAAGCAGCATGATATGCAACATATGTGCATGCTTAGTAAATTCACCCTGTTTTGGTGGACCAGGAGTGCCACTTAATTCATGTTTAAAAATGTTAAGTTAAAATGAAAATAAATTGATGAATCACTTTTAAATGTAACAATTACACAAGCAAAAAGAAAAGTAATCTGTAAATTATGTTTATCTTTTAATGCTTTTTTAAAATAAAATTTATTACAATTAAATAAAATTAAATTGAAATTAAATTGTACAGATGTAAATGCATTTGTCAGTTTGTGACTTATTTACATTTGAATGAATTATCTGATAACTGATTGATTTATGCATTAGACTTTTTCAGTGGCATTCCTAGTTCTCCATGCATTGCTGACATCCCGATAAAGCAGAGACATCAGACAAAAAAAAAACAGGAATTAAATCCTTATAACATGTCTGGAGATGAATGTATGTATGTGTGTGTGTGTGTGTGTGTGTGTGTGTGTGTGTGTGTGTGTCTATACATCCATATCCCTCAGTTCAGCTAATAAATGACAATGAAATCAAAGATGTGTTCCTTAGACACCCAACCTGCGGTAATGGGACGTTTTGTGTTATTGTGTTTATACTGAGCTAAATTATATTTTCTAACCCCTCTGACCCTCACACAAACCTTTCTGCATTTAAAATTTTCATTAAGTCATAATTAAGTATGCTTATCAAGCCCTTTTCCTCACAAGTCCCCATAGTGTATCTAATTTTAGGTTTTAAGATCATTATGAGGACATTTGGTCCTTTCGATGCAGCCAAATCCTGACCCACACACTCACTTGCATTTATATTCATGCACACGCTCATTTAAGCAGACATTCAAAAACTAGGTGAGCTACATCTGTTTCATCCCATACCTTATGCTGTGCAGTGCTATTCACGTATCTTCTAACGCTCTCCCTCACTCAAGTCTTACCGAAGTCTTTATGCGAGGACATCCAGCCAATGATTTTGATAGAGACGATAGCAAGTAGTCCTGATCCCACAAAGGAGCCGATTCCAGAGAAGAAGAAGAACAGGCCCATTATAGCGCTCTGCATGGAGCGTGGGGCTGCAGAGTAGGCGAACTCCAGACCTACAAACACAAGATGATGCAGAAATCAATGATGAAAGTCAGAAGTTTGCTTCAAAAGCATGATCAGAACCTCAAAAGCATCCAAGGGACTCTATGCTTCACATTTACAACAAAAATAGAGTCTTGTGGAAAAGACCATGGTTAAAAAAATGACATGAGCAGATTAATTTGTAACAGGGTGTTTGCATAACCTTTCTATACAGTTGTATCAACCAGCAAGCAAACAGCTCAGACTTTTGTGAATAAAACGTAATCTATAATGAGCATCTTTTGCATAGAAAGTAGTGTTTTGCGAAAAAAGTCGATGACTTAAATAAACATGATGCCGTGCTAAAAGTAAGCAGCATGATATGCAACATATGTGCATGCTTAGTAAATTCACCCTGTTTTGGTGGACCAGGAGTGCCACTTAATTCATGTTTAAAAATGTTAAGTTAAAATGAAAATAAATTGATGAATCACTTTTAAATGTAACAATTACACAAGCAAAAAGAAAAGTAATCTGTAAATTATGTTTATCTTTTAATGCTTTTTTAAAATAAAATTTATTACAATTAAATAAAATTAAATTGAAATTAAATTGTACAGATGTAAATGCATTTGTCAGTTTGTGACTTATTTACATTTGAATGAATTATCTGATAACTGATTGATTTATGCATTAGACTTTTTCAGTGGCATTCCTAGTTCTCCATGCATTGCTGACATCCCGATAAAGCAGAGACATCAGACAAAAAAAAAACAGGAATTAAATCCTTATAACATGTCTGGAGATGAATGTATGTATGTGTGTGTGTGTGTGTGTGTGTGTGTGTGTGTGTGTGTGTGTGTCCATACATCCATATCACTCAGCTGAAGGTCTGAGTGACTCAGAAACACCTACTCAACTGCCAAAATCAGCACACGTCCTTAAATGTTTACTGAAAGAGACAGGGGAAGAAAAAGAGGGATTAAAAAGTAGTATAAGGAGGAAGCTGAGTGGGGGAAAGAAAAGATGAAGTAGTTCAGAAAAAATAGAGGATGTACAAAGCAGAAAGAAAAGATCAAATCTCTTTTTAACCCTGAGTGGTGGCTGCCTGCTGGCTGACATTGATAATTTCATGGCGCCTCAAACTTGTCATTTTTTAAATTATGGCTTGTGGGTACAACTGTCAGACTCGTTTACTGAGCCTGGTTAGGCCATGAATCTTCTCTGATAGATAGATGGATGGATAGAGAGAGAGAGCACAAGGGTAAAATAGCTAAAAAGAAGAGGGAGGTACTCCACCAAACGGAGCAAAAGAGATCATCTAATCCCATCCCACAATCCCACGCTCTGAAACAAACACACATTAGGAGATGTGGAGGCAGGAGGGGCGGAGAGAAAAAGAGAAGCAAAAGAGCGAGATGAAGGAACTCGGCTGCTCTATTACAGTGCTTATAGCTGTCTGCAGGCATGGCTGACCTTTTCTAAGTGCTGTTCGTGTCATGGAGACCGTGTCTGCATCCTTAGACGACAACGATCAGATGCTTGAGAAGCCCAGGGCTCAGGAAACACTATTAAAACTACAGCAACTGTTCAAAATCAATGAAGACTGTGAAAATGTCATGAGTTCTGTTTTTCTAAAACCATTGGATTTACATTATTTGGTTACATACATATGTAAATCTGAATCTAAAAGGTACTTTTTACATGACTCACATGAAGGATCCCTAATGCATTGACCTTCCAAACTCATAATACTGCTCTTCCATTTGGAAGTAAAAGTGGCTTGTGTCGAGCAAAGTGATGAAGGCCAGAGTTTCTTGGATTGATTAATAAATGAACCCCAATGCAAAAGCCTTGCTTTGGTTAAGCAGCAGAGTGTAAGTAAGAGTTAAGAGAGGAAAAAAGCAGATCCATAAGGTGTCTCAATGACGTGAGCATGGCAACAAGAGTCTAATGACACGACCGTTCACACTATCACGCAAAAAGAAAAAGAAAATATAAAACTTGACCTTTTCTAACTTCAGAGCTGAATTATTCAAAAGCAAGAAAACAAGTTAAACTTGAAATATTCTGCTTTCATTTTTCCCCTCGCAGAGTCAGGCAGTGGGCGCTTTTTCTTTCTCTGAAAATCATTAGCCTTTAACATTTTTCAGAGAGAACGATATATAATTAAAATTCCCAGTAGAGAAAAAAAGAATCAGGTTTTAGGTCTGTCCCCTCAACAGCAGTCCACACACATCTCCCGCAGGTAGTGTGTGTATGTGTGTGTGCGTGCAAGTGCGTGTCTACAAAAATGTGAAAAATCAGAATCAACTCGGCTTCCGCTGTCATCCGACAGCCCACGACAAAGCGAGCTGGCAATGGAGTCCATTAAAAAAGGATTTATTCAAACAGAATAGGGCCAGAGGAGGGAATTTCCAGAGACATTTGTCACATTTCTTGCCATCCAATTTCCTGGAGGTTCCCCAGGGGTAGGGATGGAGCGTTGAGGCTTTATTTTAAGGGTCCTCCATGCTATCAGGAGGCATTTGCATTTCATGGGAGGCATGGGACACTGGAGACCTGGGATGAGATGGAGAGAGCTGACTACGAAAAGTGTGTCAGCACATCGCCACACAGACATGAAGTTATCGGAGACAAACCTGTGTTTAGCAGCTGTTGCAGTCACATTAAATCTTAGTCTGGTTACCCGTAGGAGTTGAGGAGTTTTTTCTCCCCCAAAAAATCTAGAGCCAAGATATTTTGTTTCGTAACTGACGAATAAATGTCCTACAGCTGAGCTTCTGGATAAACTTGTGAATTAGCATGCCGGCGTCCTTCTCAGAGAAGATGAAATTTTCTTTTAAGATACATACCCAAAATGTACATGACAAAATCATATGCGCAACTACATTATGCTACGTGCCGGATGTTCGTAGAATGATTCGCACTGCGTCACACAACAATCTCTAGCCATGGCCATCTTCCCACTCATGTTCAGATGTAAAAGGACTATTCAAGAAAATGAGAAAGCAAAATTTATCTTCATTGCAGTGGGTGACATGCTATTCAGCGTCTTTAATCTTAATATTTTTGATGCAGTCTTCACACCTCTCCAATTTCCCTATCATTTCACAGCTGTCTGTGATCAGGAAGCGGCAGGCTGCCTCTTGTATTGATTCTCATAGCTTGATGGCTCTCTTCAGGTTTAAAAAGTGCCTGTGCAGATAGTGTCTTATAGCTTTCCACAATACTCGAACCCCTGGAGACGTGATGGAGGAGCGAAAGATTACACTTAGCCTTCCCCATCTCCCCATTCTGCTGGAAATTCAATCAGAGGCCGCTATGTCCACCGTGGACATATTATTTCACCGGCGCTGCACCTCTTTTCTTTCAATTTTTTCGGGTCCGCAGATAAAAAATGAAATGAAGATGTTAACTGTTAGGGACAGCCACTATCCCCACAAGAAAGTAGAAGAAAGAGAAAGGGAAAACAAAAGATATCGCTTGTTTATTTTGGAGTGGGCCGCTGTGTTAACAAAAAGAGGGCAAATGCTGCTGTTTAACTTTGTGTGCAAGGATATTTCTGGTTGAAAATCATATACATGAGATGTGCACATTAAGGGGGAAAAAAGTTGTTCCTAAGAACAAGAGTCTCAAAGGGGAGAGGTGTCCTTTGGGGCTATAAGTACAAAATAGGCAGGTATATTTAAATTTAGGCTGCATTTACACAGACAGTGTTTGGCATTGGAAACCTGGTCAATGACAAATAAGAGTGTCTAAAAAAGAAAGTATATTAAAAATCTAGTTCATAGAAATGTACTCTTTGTATTCCTGCTGAAATGTTATGGTTTTAGAAAAACTTTTATACCATTTTCAAATTTAAATGTATTGATTCTAAAAATGTCATGTGGTGTAACGTTTTTGCTGCACCCACAGTACTGTTCAAAATTGTGAGATGTTTCTTTATGGAATGGTTTGGAAATTGTTTTACTGGTTTAGAATTTCATAAAAGAAACATTACATTATATATGTATCGTCGAAACATTACATTATATATGTATGAAGGCATCGATTTATTAAAATTAGCACTGCAACACAGAACCGCCAAATGAACACTAAATTACCAACCAGTAAATTAAAACCAATCTGTTCACATTAGAGAAACTGTAGAATAACTTTAAAGCAACCTTGCAGTAACAATGGTCAGGTTTTGTCTATTTGTATTTGTACGGTCAATGAGCTCAGTTCTGTTTCTTGTATGTTTTCCTATTTTACCATTAAAGAAACTGCACAGGGTTCCTGCACATTTTAAAGTCAAATTTAAAGATTTTCGGACCTTTTTAAGAACTTAAGAAATACATTTGAATAAAGAGATAAAAATGAATACTGTACACAAGGGGTGATGCTATAAAAATAAAAAATGTCTTGACATTTTCAGGGATTTTGTTGATAATAATAATTAGACAATATTTTTGTTGAGTGTGTTTTTGACACTGCATTTACAATTGCATAAATAATGCTATGAGATTGTTCTTAATTTAAGGAAGTGATCTTTCTTTACTTGAAAATACTTTAAAGGGGTCATATGATGAGATTTAAATTTTTCCTTTCTCTTTGGAGTGTTACAAGCTCTTGGTGCATAACGAAGATCTGCAAAGTTGCAAAGACTAAAGTCTCAAATCCAAAGAGATCTTCTTTATAAAAGTTAAGAGTCAACCACGCCTACCTAAAACGGCTCATTCTAACACGCCCCCACATGTCTACGTCACAATGTGGGAAGATTTGCATAACACCGCCCAAATGTTCATGCAAAGAAAGAAGGCGTAACTTTTATTCTCGCTGTAGTATTGTTGCTGCCGCCGCCATGTCCTGAAGACACTGTGTGTTTCGTTGTGAAAGCGAAACTACTTTGCTTGGCCTTCCAAAAGAGGACTATATCCGCTTCGCCATTCCTAGAGCTGATCTGTGCTGGTCGCTGAGGAAATACATAAACTTTGAGCTGTCGATCGCCGGATCGGCTTTCACCGTGAACGAAGCGGAGTCCAGCCCG